AAGAAGAAGAAGAAGAAGGTGCGTCAGTCTGTCTGTCTGTGATGGCCGATCACCAGGATCACCACGATCACCACCACCAGGGCTTTGAGGTGCACCAGGTGAAGCACGATGATGGATCTCACGTCTACCACGGTATTGACATTACCAAGATCAACATTAGTTCACTTCCAAAGAGCCAGCAGGTAAGCTGTTGTGGGCTTCTACACAGGCAGCTACCAAATACTAAAGTACCTTTTGTTTATCCAATCAAACAGGAGCACCTGCTTATGCACGAAAAGCACCGGTAAGTGCACTCACAGTTTACTCTTTAGATAAACAACAACTGACTCAATTTCGATTTCCACCACAAAGGGGCCATGAGGCGATGCACGCCCAGATGATGCTGGTGCTGCTCGTGGCGATGGCACTGGGACAGGTTCTGCTCATCTACTGGCGAAAAAAGAGCTTCAAGTCATATCAAAATGTGTCCANCTTATGCACGAAAAGCACCGGTAAGTGCACTCACAGTTTACTCTTTAGATAAACAACAACTGACTCAATTTCGATTTCTACCACAAAGGGGTCATGAGGCGATGCACGCCCAGATGATGCTGGTGCTGCTCGTAGCAATGGCTCTGGGACAGGTTCTGCTCATCTACTGGCGAAAAAAGAGCTTCAAGTCATATCAAAATGTGTCCATGTTTGGTCAGTGTTTTTATTAGAAGTCTTCGCGTCATCATCATCGTCATCCGTTTCTAATTTCCATTTCCCACCACCCAGGCATGTGGCTGATACCGTTCATCCTCTCTGCCTACAATCACTACTGGCGCTTCGTCGGCATCTGGTCGGTCATTTCGCTGGTGACGCTGGCGCTCATTTTTCGGCCGCTCTTCAACAAGAACCTTAACCTGCGGCAAGGCACCTCCATTCCGCGCCTCGTCTACCGCTGGTTCTTCTACCTTTATTCAGTTTCATCGGTGATCGCCGTCACCGGCTATACGGTGGTGATGCTGACGCTGGTCGGCGTGAACGTCCTCCTCGGCATCAAGCCGATGTACACGCTGGACGTCGGCGTGCTGATGCTCTTCTACGGCATCTACTACGGCGTACTGACGCGCGACTTTACCGACTTTCTGGTGGACATTCTCGCGGCCAACATCGGCTACTACCAGCCGAGCAGCGCCCTGCCCAGCAAGCAGCTCAACTCGAAGATTTGCGCCATTTGTGGACGACCGCACGGCGGCCCGCAGCTCTCCGGCAGCTCCTCCACGGCGGGCCTGCTCGCCACCGCCGCCTACTACGAGGATGAGGATCGCAATCAGGGCGGTGGTGGCAGTGGGAGCGGTCCTACCCTCGACCCGGCCATTTCAGAGAAGACGTACACGCTGACCTGCGGCCACATCTACCACCAGTACTGCATCTTCGGGTGGTGTCTGGTGGGGAAGAAGCAGGTGTGTCCCTTCTGTCGGGAGAAGGTCGATCTCAACAAACTGTTCGCCAGTCTGCCCTTCCAGAAGCCGCATTACCTCTACGGAAACCTGCTCGACTTTATTCGCTATCTGATCGCCTGGCAGCCGGTCATTCTCTTTGCGGTGCAGTGCGTCAATCACATCATGGGACTGGAGTGAGGAGGCGTGGGGAGAGTTGCTTTTTAGTGGCCGAAGTTGTGAAGTTTTTGCTGTTGCTCTAATGCCCATCGAAGCAGTTGAAACGAGGTTGTCCTGGTTGTGGTAAAGAAAAAGCTTTTTCCTTCTCATCAGCAACACTACCCTCTTTCGGTGTGATCAAGTGATGGATTTGGTAGTGCTTTTGGGTCTTTTGTCTGAGGTGACTAAGTTGCCTGCTCTTGGCTTTTGTGACTTTTTAGCCTGTTTGTTTTTCAATTATGTGCAATTCTTTCCCGCTTCTTCCCCCAATCAGTTTGGTGCTGCACCTCTTTTTTATACTTTCACTACTGTTTACTACCACCACCACCTTCTCCCTACCCTTTTGTGATGCTGGTGGTGGTGAGTGAACCATACACNTTGGATTTGGTAGTGCTTTTGGGTCTTTTGTCTGAGGTGACTAAGTTGCCGGCTCTTGGCTTTTGTGACTTTTTAGCCTATTTGTTTTTCAATTATGTGCAATTCTTTCCCGCTTCTTCCCCCAATCAGTTTGGTGCTGCACCTCTTTTTTATACTTTCACTACTGTTTACTACCACCACCACCACCTTCTCCCTACCCTTTTGTGATGCTGGTGGTGGTGGGTGAACCACACACACACACACATTTCATCTTCGTCGTTTAAATATCTTATATAATTCCCCCTCTCTCGTTCAATCTATCCTCCTTCTTGTGCAACACATCTCTGATTGAGTGATCTGTTTTTACTGTTTGCGCAGAGTAATGATCGAATTGGAGCATTCAACCTTCACCTACTACCCAAAGGAGGAGAAGAAGGAGGCGGCAAATAATCTCCACTTTTTCGTTGTGATTACATCATTTGAAGACAGTGCCATCCAGATCACCAGCGGTGATCTGCTGGGCAAGCAGGCAGGCACCACGCAAGGGAAAGCCTGCGGGAAAGCCAGAGATAGATCACTTTGCAGTGAAGAGGAGAAGAGATATTAGATCATCATCGCAGGACAACAATGAAANCAATCTATCCTCCTTCTTGTGCAACACATCTCTGATTGAGTGATCTGTTTTTACTGTTTGCGCAGAGTAATGATCGAATTGGAGCATTCAACCTTCACCTACTACCCAAAGGAGGAGAAGAAGGAGGCGGCAAATAATCTCCACTTTTTCGTTGTGATTACATCATTTGAAGACAGTGCCATCACCAGCGGTGATCTGCTGGGCAAGCAGGCAGAGGCACCACGCCAGGGAAAGCCTGCGGGAATGCCAGAGATAGATCACTTTGCAGTGAAGAGGAGAAGAGATATTAGATCATCATCGCAGGACAACAATGAAAAGGGCAGAACAACAACTGATTTCAGATCGTTCAAATCGTGAATGTGAAACTGCCGCTAAAATGAGACTGCCAGCCAAAGTGTGATGCAAGTGTCCATTTAGAAGTGCCTGCACTTTCACTACTCGCTCATCCTTTTAGGCGTTAAAAGTGAATGGGACAATACCTGCTGCCACTGAGCCATTGTCATTGTGATTGTGTGATTATGTGTGTGTATGTGTGTTGTAAAACAGCGCGCTCACAATCACACACACACACACACACACACACACACACACACACACACTCCTAATTTGCCTCCTTTTTAAAAATAACAAAAACTCAGGGAGTCAGTTGCTGCTCTTCTTCTGCTACTTGGGAGTGCGGTGAGTTTAATTTTAGCATTAAACTGAAAGTGAATTTGGTTAGCCTAAAGAGAGTAAGCAGTATTCAACTTTCATCTTTTTCCTTTTTATTATGCACGCTAATTAGCCGACTAAATTAATTTTCGGTGAGTGAGCGAGATGGAAAGAAGGAAAGTGAGATGGAGAGGAAAGGAGAGGGGGAGGAAAGATGAAGGGCGAAAAATGTAGTAGCTGCAGCATGTTGACCTGTGTGTAGAGAACAATTAGAGAGATTGGATGGTGGTGATGATAATAATAGTGCTGGTATGGTAAGGTGAGGTGAGGTAAGTGG